CGCTTTTTAAAATTTAAAATGTCTTTATTTATATGGTAAATACTGTTTCCTACTAAAAAAAGATGACTTCTGTCTTTCGATCAGTCAAGCTTAGCTAGAAAATTCACTTTTTAATATCACATGTTGACATGATAGAGGATGTAGGATGCAAAAATCAATTTAATAGGCATTATTAAATAATTTTGAACATATGTAGTATCTTGAATAAATGATTAAAATTAAACGTGGGCACATAATATTCTGTCTATATCAATGAGCTTGACAGAAGATGTGTTTGCACTAATTTCTGGTAAATACCACTTTTCTTTTTTTTCTTAGATGATGATGGGGAAATACAGTGGCAAATACACAAATTCTAGCAATTGCTTTTTAGGAAGGCATTGTTTTTGTAATAATGAGGCTATTTTATTCACATTCTTTAAAATATTAACATCTATGTTATAGGTTTTAATACCTGAGGGTAATCGATGGCAAAGAGACTAATATTTAAATGCAACACAGTTTGTGTAGATGATCTCATTTGGTCTTCACCACAGCTCTCTTCAACTGTAGAATAGATTCCATGTTCAAATATAAAGAGGAGGCCCAGATCTCTAAGATTACCCCAGTATAATCATTAATGGAATTCTTTCACTGTCAAAAGTTTCTGGTTTGGATGATAAGTTACATAGTAACCACAGAAATCAGGAAATGGAGATGCAGAAAGTTTAAATAATTGACTAATATCATATTCACCCCCGGTTGATTCTGTATGGCAACCTCGTTATGCATGAATACAAGTCATTCTCTTTCCACGGCTCAGCACTGCGTCAGAGCCAGACCAGCAGGTGTTTTCAGTAGAGCAATTCGGAGATGAAGAAGTATAGCCTGTCCAAATAGGAATGTCAAATATCCTGAAATGCTACATTAGAAAAATCAGCCCTCTGGATTTTTCTACTCCCGTGGATTTACTCTGAAAAGGCGAATGCTCCTAGGAGAAGTAGCACTTCGATCAATGAATTCATACCAAAGTAATAAAGCATCATCAGTGAGCAGGAAAGGAGCAGATTAAGAGAAATACTGGGTGAGTAGTAGAGGCTGGAGAAGGGATGGAGGGGAACAAGTGGAATGAAATCAGCCAACGTGGATGGGAGCTCGCCAGCTGGGAGCTTCGGTCTATTTCATGATTTAAGCCTTGATGTTACAGATGAAGGGAAGAGCTTCCTGCTAAAGGTTAAGAACATGCTTGATCTGGAAGATTCTGGCTGCCAGGAGTGGGCAATACGGAACAGAGGAGTGAATCAGGAACTAGAGAGAGCAGAAGAGCACCAGCAGGAGAGGCACAAAGAGGGACAATGATGATGGCTTTTCCCAATCTACAGCCACGAATGGGTCATCGATTGGGATACAGTTAATTAGGTTATTAATGGGTTAGTATTATCAGCTACAGTTCTGGGTTTCATTAGTTGTGACAGATCTTTTAATATCTAAAGCAGAAAAGGAGAGAAAGACTAGAAAGAGGGAAAGGAGGTGTTTTACAAACTGAGGGACAAGAGAATTACAACGGAGGAAAGAAAAATTTGCTTTCCGGGAGAAGCATGAAGAGACCTCTGAAGAGCAGAGTAAGTGTGACTATTCCTTGAGCCACCTAGGAGCCTGCAAGAGGAGGGGCAGCATGTGTGAGGCCATGCGAAATGAAGAAGAGGCTGGCATTATGCTAATTACTAAAGCTCCCCCTCGGACAACAGGAAGCAGACAATGAAATAAGCGATGATTTGCCCAGGCCAAGGCATCAAGGCACAGTGGTAATTATTAACTTCAGCGGTATCTTTTCAGGGAAGGCAAAGGCTATAGTTGTTTTTTAAGACACAAGTGTGAATGTTAAGAGATCTGCTCCAGCAGTCTCTCCAGGTGTGTTATACACCTAGTCCTCCCAGAAGTGATCATCAATTATGTAGTCTAGAAAAGCAATCTGTTCTCTCTGCTGGAGGAAATAAAGGTTAAATCACTTCAAAAAACACCGCCAACAACTCTCTGCCCTTTGGTTTAATAGAGAAGACGACAGGTTTCTGAAATGGGAAGAATTATCCAGGAAGCAAAATTAAAAAAGAAAAAGTCTCTGGGGAGCAGAGAGCACTGAAGGGTCCGCCAAAGAAACCTAAATGGCAAGAGGGTGAAAAGGAAGAGAATTATTCCAGATGTACATCGCTCTAGAAGCTCTGGGCTTTCTAACTGGGTTGCTCTGGCTATTCTATATAAGTATAAGTCAAATTTAACTCAAACCTCCGCCTCTTTTCGGGTTCTGTCTTTGGGCTGATTCGAATGCAGCACTGATACTGCTTCATCTGGCTTCAGTGAGGGGTCTGAAGAAAAGACACGATTCCAGTCCCCGAACACTGCTTCCCACCTATGCCACTTGGGAACCCAAAGTGTCGACTCTCCGTTTATGTCTTCTTGGGTTTCCGTATTTATCATTTTACTCCGTAAAATGGGGAGAGTGATCACTGGTTTTCATCAGGAATTCTTCAGTAACCACATGCACTTAAATGTGACTATTAGAATTAGAGAGGTACTTTCACAGACTCAGGCAAAGGTGCAGCCAGAGGTTATGGCACATGGGAACGAGGGACCTGAAGGAGAATAAGCATGAGACCGGGACTCATCCTTCTGTGCGGAGCCACACGATCTCACAGTTTCCTTCTTCACTAGCAACTGCTTCACTTCTCTCTTCCTGTCTGATTTTCACATGGCCCACTGTGGTTTCCCACAGCCCTCCCAGGTCCCAAATCTATATCACATAACCATAAAACAGAGATTCTGATGGCATCAGTTGAGATCACGAGTTCTATCTAACCACTCGTGGTTAGTGGAGGGAGAAGAGGATCATGTGGTTGAGTGGCTGTCCCTTTGGGCCATAGAAAAAGGATGGTTTCTACAAGAGGCACATGAAGTAGAAAATTGAAAGTCTGGCAAAAGAAATGACGGGCATCTTTAACCTAACATTCTATCTGTCAACGTTGCTGTGAAGATCAAGGGACATTTAGAACACATATTAAGACACATATTTAGAACACATATTAAGGTGTTTTCTAACCTGTAAAATACCATGTAAATGTAAGGCAGTAGATAACTTATACAAAACTCTCAAAGGTTTAGTATCTGTGCTACCCTTTGAAAAAAATAACTTATCAATTACCGTTGACTCAGAATGACACGAGACTGAGAAACCATCAATGAATTAAGAATGTGGAGATAAACTCAGAATACAGGTCATAGGAAGTAGATATTGTTCTAAGACAAACAAAAAAACAAAAACTTAAGGTATTAGAGAATTATGAGGATTTTCCACTTAAATGTCATATTTCTCCACGGTTTGTCATATACTGGTCTCCAACATCAAGGTTGTAGCAGATAGATTTGTATTGTGGGGATCTAAAAATTAAATTAAATTTTATAAATATATTTCCATCTATTATCTGAATGTATATTTGCATTTATACTCTATTTCTCTATGCATTCATTAACTATCTCTCCCAAATGTATTTGAGGAATATAATTTAAATAATTGGTAAAAGCTAAAGCCCATGTTTATCAACATAATGTTCAACTGAATTTGTTCTTTTCTGTATTTGTATAATTAGTAAGTTATATCCTTTTACCCTCTGTGTTAGTCTATGAGCTTCCTGCTTCAGATGCTTATATGATGTATACATATCAGACGATTCTTGCCAACAGTGAAGTAAGAAAATATAACTCTAGCATTCCCAGGTGCCCTTATATTTATCTTTTCTTTTCTCCCTTTAGATATCAGATTAAACAAACAAACAAACAAACAAACCCCCAAGAAACAGCTAATTAATACTACTTTTAAATCAAAACTGTATTTTAAAATGTCTATCACTCTACCTTTGCCTGTGGATGTCCTTCACCAAGTCTTTTGATTGAGTAAAGTGTCTTCATACGCCTGTAAATCTCTATATTATTCTGTATACATTATTCTCTCTTCATTTTACCTATTTCCTTCTCCCCTTTGGTCTGTCTGAATCTCTGATTATCTATTTATCTCTTTTCTGATGTCATTTTTTTTTCTTTCTTTCTCTCTTCTTTCTTCCCCAACCCACTCTTTTGAGTTTTCTCCTGTTTCATATTTTTCACCTTTATTTATGTTTCTTTCTTCTCTCCAGTTTTCACTTCTATATTTATTCATTTTTGCTTTTCCTGATTTGGCTGTGATTGAGTTTAGTATTTCCTGGTTTATTGAATAAAAATGATTGTCCTTGTTGGTTGATTCTTATTGATCCAAGAAAATATTATTTCTTCCCTTTTTAAGTTGCCATTCATTGATATTTGTATCAGTGCTCCTTTGAAGCAAAAGAGTTTTAAATTTCTGTCTTTAATCATTTTTTTTTATTCTTTGTGAACAGCTATCTACTTTGAAATTACCATTTACTAATTAATACCATAACTTTAAAGTCCAAAACTCAAATTTTAGTTGCAAATGTATAACTATTTTTCACACAACTTTATAATAAAGCTAAATTCTGGGTGCTAGGGGAAGAAATTGCAAAGTGTCATATTTTTTCATCCTTCATTTTCAACTGAAATTAAGTTGTATGTCAACGAAAAGGAAAAAATGCAGTGAATACAAAGTAGTCTTTTTTATGCATTGTTCCTATGTTTGGAGTCAATTCTTTCAACAACTTTTAAATGATTTTCTGATTAACAAGAATCTCCTTAACTCAAGAATTTTTACACCATTTTGAATTCTTTGTCCCATGCAACTCCAAAAATTCTTCTTCTTTAATTTACCATTTCTTTCTTCAAGCCCAATCTTTGACTCTCTAATAGTGGCTGCAGAAGAGGTTTATGGTACCTATGTGTCTGTTAGCAGAGTGTGAAGAATGATTTTGGGTGCCTGCTAATTGCTGCTGCGCAATAAATTATATTTTAGAAATATAGCTGTAAACACAGCATGTTCTCTTTGAAAACATTTGTCAACATGGAAATAAAAGTGGACTTACCCCCTCGCTTGTTGATTTTGGCATAGCCAGGAGAATAGCTCGCAGACATAGAGGACGAGCTGTTGAAAGCCACATGGGAGAGTCCAGACACAAGTGGTTCATCACATTTTTCTGAAAAGAAAAGACAGAGACAGATTCACAAAAGATCTTTAAATAACGACTGGCTTCTTTTTGTTAAAATAATTACTGACTATATCACAAATTTTAAGATTTGTGATACGACATTTAGCAAATGATCAGAATTTCGGCAACTCGACTTCAATAATTCTAAAGATCACAGGAACAATTTAAACAACCCTCTGCTTTTCAAGAGTATGACAAAGTGCTTCATTCCCCAGGGACTCAAGTCAGACCTGCCATCTCAGAATCGTGAGGGACGCTGAGGTTGTTTACTTAACAAGCTCTGGAATCTAGCCTCTCCTGGCCATCTCAGCTATTTATTCGGTTATTCATTATAGAAATAGAAGATGAGAAACGTTGAGATCAGAGGAGGGAAGACTATGAGGAATCCTACCAAAGCTAAAAGACTAAGAAGAATGTGTCAGTAAGGGAGAACACAAAATAATCACCAACTTGAAAATCATCTGAAAAATTAGTCGGTTCCCATCGACCTTGAACAGTCAACTGCACTGGAACCAGGTGATCCTTCAGTTCTGTTCCTCACCTGGCTTCCACAATGCCACTCATTTTTCTTGCCCTCCTTCCTCCCTACCAGCTTGTTTTCCAATTCCTTTGATGGGTCTTTCTCATTTTCCTCATGTCTAAACATTAAAGTACCCAGGACTCAGCTCTTGGGTCTCTTCGCGGTCGACTCTTGCTCTCCGAGAGACTGTACGTGTCAAGGCCGTACAGTCTTCTCACACTGGACTGTCCCCAACACTACCACCTCCCTTTGCCCGGCTGTCAGCGATCAGAAGTGACATCTTCCTGCGTCCTCCCTTGTTGCTCCATAGACCTTCTGCACAGAGCAGCCAAAAGGATACTTTTTAAAAATATAAGTTGGTCATGTGGCTCCTCTGCTCAATCACTCAGAATGAAGTCAGAAGCCCTCCAACTGCTCGCAGTGGCCACTGCACCAGCCACACCTTCCCTCATCCTTGTCCCCTCCTGTCTAGCCACCATGGCCCGCTTCCCCTTCCTTCAACAGCAGGACTGCCCCTGCCACAGGATTTCACGATTGCCATTCCAGCTACCAAGAGGCTCAGCCCTCACCTCCCCCAGGCTCTGCTCGGTGTCACCTTTCATTGCTGCAGACAAGCTTTCCTAGCAAAAGAGCATGATGCTGCCATCACCCACTATCCCCACATCTGGCCTTATTTTCCTTCGTAGCATTAAAAGCTATCTGACATGTTACGTTTTGACTCATTTAATTGTTTAGTCGCCATTCTCTCCCATGAGACTGGAGAAGCTCTATGGGAATAAAGTTTTTGATAATTTGCTTATGCTTACTCTTTAGGAATCTGAACCGCACCTGGCATTTGGCATACACTCTAAAAACATTTGAAGGATGAATGAATGGATAAAAATAAGAACAACTAGGCCTAATCTCAGAGTGCGGAGGCACACTGTTCATTTACAATGTGGCACAATACCTAATTTTTAGAGATGTGGTTTTAAAATCCCAATAAATGTTTACACGTGCTTAGTACTCTTTAATAAGACAGAGAATAACACTGGATATTCTAGAATGCTATTCCAGATATTTATAAACAGAAAAAATCAAAACAAAACTAGCCATAGAAAGAATGAACTAGTTTTCTTGAAAAGTCACTCAAGTGAATTGTCTCCAATGATATTGGAGAAATAAATTATTATTCATCATCTCATCACTCCAGTGTGTACACATTTGAAGTTAATATGAACAAATCCATCCCTGTAAAACATTGTTAGATTTTTTATTTTTCTTACTTATACCACAAATGCCTCTGGGAAAATATGGCATGTGTGTATGACTACATTCCCCAGAAAGAAAATGTAAAAGAAAAAAAATATGACCATAAAACTTATTTTAAATGTATCAGTTAACAAAGTAGGCATCTAAAGTAAAAGATTTCATATTAATTGTTTTGAAATACACAATTCAATTTAGCTACTAGTAAGCACAAATATAAAACCTTGATTTCCTATCTTCCTCTCTTCCGAGTCTAATTTTTTACACTCTTTTGACATAGTTCTGAATTTAATTTGAGCAATCCTTACTTCTAAAGTTCCCATTAAATTAAGAATGTGCTGATGTTCATTCATTTTCCTTTTATTCTTTCCGCTATGCATCCAGTGCCTATGCTGTTTCAGGCACAGGAAATGCAGCCGTAAGTGAAACTGATGACATTCCTGTCCTATGGAACTTTATCTTAGAGGGAAAAAAAAACAAAACAAAACCAGACTAAAAACTAAAAGGTAAATTTATATTATGAGATGGTGATTAAATACTACAGAGATATTGAATAAGGCAGAGGGGGCGGGGAGTTTGGCGGGGTGGAGGTTGAGGGTGCTGTGTTTTGCTGTCTGGTAAAGCAAAGTCACTTTGATCAGGTGACACATCTGAGCTGTGATCAGAAGGAAGTGAGGAGGGGGTGAGCCCTGTGAGAAGTCAATGGGATTATGCTAGGAGGAAATTGTTCTAGTCCAAATCTGCTCAATAGGGTAATATTATATTAATGAATAATACATCTTCCAAAAGGAAGTATCCCATGCATACACATTGTCACACTGAAAGTAATTAAAAAGAAGTTGGTGAATAACTAACAATCCATCAGCTAATTTAAATTTAGAACTTAAATATAGCATTTATGAAACCTGAAGACATGTTTTTTGAAAATTTGACTTCCGTAATAAATTGATCATCTTTATAATAAATTAAATTTTTTTCCTAATTTAAAAAATGATGTAATTCAGAATGATAAAACTAGAATGTAATTGGACTCAAGAAAGATAAGCATATAAGAGATTATTTGCTTTTTTAAAAAAGGTGGCTGTTAGGATATGGAAGCAACCGGAATGTCCTACGATAGATGATTGGCTAAAGAAGCTGTGGTACATATATACGATGGAATATTACTCAGCCACAAGAAGAGGTGAAATAGTACCATTTGTGACAACATGGATGGACCTTGAGATAATCATGGTAAGCGAAATAAGCCAAACGGAAAAAGTTGAAAATCACATGATATCACTTATATGTGGGATATAAAACTAAAAGCAACAAACAAACAGGACAAACAAACAGAGACCCATGGACATGGACCATAGATTTGTGGTTAACAGAGGGGAGGGGGGAGGTAAATGAGGTAAAAGGGGTCAAATATTTGGTGACAGAAAGAAATCTAACTATGAGAGGTGAACACAGTGTAAATATATATATGTCTCACTGTTAGAATGTGCAGTTCAAACTTACTGGATTTTGTTAACCAATGTCACCATAAAAAATTAATTAATTAACTAATTAATTAAAAAAATAAAAAGGTGGCTGTAAAATTATCAGAATTTAAGCATTGTCAATCTTACATTCTTATAAGTTGAGACATGATCTATAACCATACAATTAAGTAAGAAAAATGCTACATGCATTATATGTTTTCCTGGAAGACTTTAACCACAAATACTTATTGAGATCTTACTCTGCTTGTAACATTCTAACCACTTTTAGCAATTAAAAATATATATACATATATCTATGTATCTATCTTTCTGTCTCATCTCTGTCTCTGTCTCTGTATCTATCTCTATGTCTATTTCTATCTCTATCTCTATATATTGTCCACTCCCCCATGACAGGTAATAATATATACACCCATGTAAAGTAATTAAACATGAAACAAGAGAATAATACAGTTTGTAATTCAATGCTGAATAGAATATTATCAAATACTGAAAGTCATAAATTAAAACGCAGGGCTGTTGTTTAGGTGAGTTGCTTATCAGTCTTAGCTCCATCATAATTGTATGACCTTGAGTATGTTAATTAACCTCCTCCTACAGATGACTCACACGGAATATGAGAAAATAAGCTAAGTTTCTCTTGAGCACTAAAAAGTTCAAGCACTATCATCTATAGGAGTAACAATGTCCTACAGGCCAAATCCAGCCCATTGCTTGCTTTTGTAAATAAAGTTTTATTGGAGTACAGCTATGCTCACTCACTGATATATTGTTTAGGACGGCATTCATATAACAGTGGAATGTCACAAAAGACACCACATGGCCTCCAAAACTAAAACATTTACTATCTGACATTTTAAAGAAAAAGTTTCCCAACCTCTGGTCTAGTATAACAAATATCCAGGAAAGAGAATGATTAATAATCACTTATGGTATTGGGTAACATACGGATAATGAATAGAACCTGAAGAATCGAAGGACTACAGACAGGTGAAAAAAGGGTTAAGAATATTCTAGAAAGAGGGAGCAAAACCATGGAGGCCACGGGGGGAATAAAATCTCCCAGAGATGGTTGTAGTAGCGCTCCACGAATGCACATACATGCATGTGCACATACATGCACATATTATGAAGAACTATCCATTTTTAATTCCGACAAGTTAATAAAAGTTATTACACATTACAGATTCCCACAAGTCAGTTTGCTTGTCGTGTTAGAATGTGTCACGATATTCTGCACTCTTAAATAGTAGGAAATCAAGCAAATTCCTAGAGAAAGTGGAGAGAGAGGTAGAGATAGAGGTAGAGATAGAAATAGAGATAGAGATATATATACATATATATACATAGAGAGAGAGAGAGAGGGAGGGAGAGAGAGAGGGAGGGAGGGAGGGAGAGGGAGAGAAGGAGAGCTTGAGAAGGAGGGAGGTGGTGGTGGTGGGGGGGGAGAGAGAGAGAGAGAGAGAGAGAGAGAGAGAGAGGAGAGAGAGAGAGATAGGGAGAGAGAGAGAGAAACACACAAGCATTTAAAACAGTTTTGTATGGTATTTTCCCATAGTGGGATGTCTTCCAAAACTGCAGCCACAGACAGAGTTCCAGCAAATATTCGGTCTCTGGTATTCTTTCCTTCCAGAGACTCGTGGATGAAAACTACAGGAACAGATGGGCTTGAGTTTTATTTTCACACGATTTCGGTCAGTCAGGAAGGCCGACTAGCCATAAGAATTCTGCAC